ACTTTCAATGGAGTTTTTAATCTCCTGGAAATCTGCACCTGTTTTATGGATTCCATTTGTTTCCTATGTTGGGATTCCATCATGTTCCTCAGCTCCTCTATTTTTTAAATGTGTCCTCTCTAGATTTATTAATCATGTCTTGCACTATGGGCACAATCTCTGCTGTTATGTGAGAAATTACTTCTGATTTCATTTTTTCCAGATCTTCTTTTGTTGGCACTTCTGGAAGTCCAGGTGATTGAGTATCAGATAGTTCCATCTCATTTCCCTTTGGGGTTGCTTTAGTTGATCTGGAAGTCTGGTTTTGAGATTTGTTTACCTGTCTTCTCATTTCAACATGGTGCAGATGTGCTGCTCATGTCCATGTGGCTCACCTCCTTGGCTCTTGGGGCAGCGGTATTGCGGTGCCGAAGGCTCCTCCTCAGCACTGTGGGTGGCTCTTCTCTTCAGTGCTGGGGGAACCCTAATGGTTAATTGTCTTTGATCCATATCCTAAGGCCACAAAATAAAATACTGATGATCAAGTCATCTCTCTTAATAATTTTATAACAAATGCCAAAAGACATAAGCACTTGCACTAGAACTTTCTGAAACCTATTCTCTCTATCCTGCCATCAGTTTTATTTCTTCCCTTTTATCTGACCACTTGTTTCCCTTTTATCTGACCCAATTAATGAATTACTCTGTGCTCTGGGTATTTCCCTCCCCAGTTAAACAAAAAACACATTGTATGGTGTTTTCTTTGAATAGTTATAAAAGAGACCTTGAGATGAGCTGAAGATTATATTTTCCTTTATCTCAGGAAAACACAACCTACAAAATGCAAGGTTTTGTAAGGCACTTACTGACCAAGACTTTGAAATCTGTCTCAACACTTTTGCTTACTGGTTAGATCCTAGGACACAAAAATGCTTCAAGAACCACAAAATTTGGAATACAAGAGGATCTAAATTGTATGGTTGTCAATGATTACAAAAAAAGAGAGGATTTCAGAATGTATAAGCTATAGGAAATGTTCTTTATGTCCCTGAAGGCTGTTTGGACAAAAAATTCAAACTTGTAGGCAAATAAAGATAATTCAAGAGAAACTTTAAAAAGAAACTCTATGGTGTTTACTAATAATATTCCAGTTTGATCCATCAGTGTAGGTAAAGGAAGCCTTTTCCTTTTTTGTAAAATTTCACATCTAGCCTCAGAAATGAAAGAGGAGATATAGGGAAAATTAACTCAGCCACCAGCCAGTCTGCTCTTGTTTGCCAGTGCAGAGCTTGTGAAATGAAGCAGAGCACCTCAAACCCAGTGCTGTCTGTGGAGCTTTAGATGTCTGAAGAGGGAAAGAAAGAATGAGATGAAGGAGAAGAAAATGAACAGAGAGAGTGGGAGGTGAGAAGGAGGGAGAAGGAAGAGGAAGGAGGGGAGGGGAGAGAGAAGGAGAAAGAGGGAGGGAGAGGAGGAGAGAGAAGGGTGGGGAAGAGGGAAAAGGAAGAAAGGAAGGGAGGGAAGGAAGGAGGGAGGAAGGAAGAAGGGAGGGAGGAAAGAATTGAGGGAAGGAAAAGAGAAACAAAGAAGGATGCCACAAAATAAAATCAGGCCCTGGTATGGTTTGTGTCTAGATGTCTGCCCCAAAGCCTCAGATGGTTTTAGGTGGGGCTTTTTCAGAGGCAACTGGATCTAGAGTGTGTGACCCTGGAATTGATTCATACTGCAATGCTAGGCGCCAGGGCCCTAGGATTGAGGGTGTGAGTGCTGCCTGTCCTAAGTAGTCTGAGTAAGATAAAAGGGGCAGGAAGATGCTTTTATGTTATCTTGTTGATTTTGCTGTCTTCGAAGTCATGATCTGTTGCCCCTCTGCCAGGCCGCCCTGCTTTGGAGCCAGCCTATTATGGACCAGAACCTCTACAAGTGGTGAGTTAAGTAAACCTTTCCACCTTTAACTGTGGGTGTTGGGTATTTTATCTCAGCAACCAGAAAAGTAACACAAGCCACACACAGATTGAAAGGTTAAATCTACATTTAAAAGATTGAAACTCCAGTTTAAAAACAAGGTGACCTAGAAGAACTCCATTGAAGGAGGAAAACAAGAGGCACCAGACTGAGCTGCGGCCTTCCTGACAGCTTTGCCTCTGAGAGAGTAGAGGGGTGGGGATGTTGGACACTGTGCTGCACACGTGTCACTTGGTGCATCTGCCCTCTTTCTGTGAAATCTGCTCTTTCCATGCTGCAGGCAGGTGTCTCCTGGACTTGGGAGTTGCTGCCACCGGGCAGGGCAGGGATTACTCTGCACTGACAGCTCCATCTCAGACCAATCTGTCGCAAACCATTGCCCACTGCTTCTGGACTCTGTGGCTTCAGAATGCAGCCCCTGGCTGTGCCCAGCCTTGAATGTGTGCGGCCAGCTCTCCCTCTGGAGAATGGGAGCCACCTGCTTGCACCAGAGGCAGAGAATTCAGCCGGTGGGACATAATGTAACGCTGGGGCCACTGCCGTGACCTCTCTGTTAGTGGCTGCATCTACTCCCGTTTTCAGGGAACACTTTGTAGGTCCAGATCTACCGGGCCAGTGACTCTGTTGGGCCACATTTGTACACTGTCCTTACCTGCCATGGTACCATAACAGAGATCTCCTCTCCGACGAGTTCTGGAATCCACAGGAGAAATTTACAGCTGAGTCCTTAGTTGCAAAGAATCTAAAATCTGATGAATCTACAAGCTGTTGTTCATCTTATCTTGAAAAGCCCAGTTTGTTTTACCAACTCACAGGAAGGCAAATAATGGAGTGGCTAACAGCACAAACTGTGAAGAAAACTCTCTGGCCTCCAATTCCAGTTTCCTCATTTTTTAACAGAATGACCTGGGGTAAGTTACTCTAGCTTGCTAAGTCTTCTCAAAGGGGAACCTTTGGTAAGTGGGAATGATAGTTGTGCCTACTTACTATGAGAACTAGATGAGCCAGCTCTTAAAAAGTTCTTAGCACATGTCTGGCATATCAGAATGCTCAGTAAGTGTTGGATTTTATTATGACTATTGTGGGTGAGCTCTCTCACATACTTCCTGCAGGACAAATGCACTGCATAATGCCAGGAATCACTGTGACATATAATCTCAATGTGGTCAGTGCAAACAGTGTTTTAGAACTGTATTATTAAGCCACCGGTTCCTGCTCACTACAAGACAATCATATTCCCTTGGGAATCCTGTGCTGCCCCCATGTGCAACTGGGCTTAAATCTTCTTCCATCTTTAGTGCATTATCCCATTCATAGCTCTGCGCCTAGATGTCCCTGCTGGCCCTTTATGCCCCACCACCTGGACATTTTCTCTTCCTCATAACTAAATGGGATTACATTGGCAACTTTGCCAATTTGGTCTTGGAATTAGGAGCCAAAGCAGGAAAGAGAAACAGGTCAGTCATAAAACTTCAATAAACCCAAAAGGAAGGTATCTCTATTTCTGTAGCAAAAAGCAACATTTATGTTGTTCTTTAATACAACTGATTACAGCTGCTCAGGGGAACTCTTGAGCGACAGAGTGTATGAGACCTCACAACTTTCTCTGTGGAAAATGCAGATTCTAGTGTCAGAAAATGGCTACTTATTATAGACGATCTAAGCCAAAGGCCTGAAGTCAGAGCTGCCTCATTGGTGAGATCTAAAATACTACACGGGAGGTAATGTTAAGAAGAAAGTTGTTAAGTTACACGGTTCATCTGCTCCTTCCAAGAAGTTGGAATTTTCCCCTAGATCACATCCGATTAGCAGAGATTAGGGATTTGGGACCACAGGACACTATATCCCTGCAGAACTTGCTCTTCCTGTGTTCTTTTGGATCTGATGCCACCACTTGGGTTTTAGGAAGTGAGGACTGGCTAAGATGGCTTGCCATTGAGCCACTGTAGGCACATGACAAGGATGCTGCTTCTTGCATCCTGTTAGCTATAGTTCTGAGGGTCTGGAGGGAGGTGTCTCTTTGCCTCAGTATCTGCTTTTACTTTGTGGATATGCTTTCTGTGGACTTACTATGGACTGAGATCTATGTTAAATGAAAGACACAGTCTTTGTCCTCCATGGAGCTCACAGACCATGAGAAGTACAGATACTAAATAGTTAATTACAAATATTATAAGAGCTAAAGAGCATCACATTTCGATTTGGTTCCAGAAAGCTCAGATCTAAATTTGTGCCAAGAGTGTAAGTCATTAGCGATTGCATATTTAGCTGTATTCATGATTCCGTTTCATATTCCCACCCTGTTTTGACTTTCTTTCATTTTCATTTCTAAATTAAGCCATCTTGTAAACTGTCTTAAATCTTGCCTGTAACAAAGCAAGCTATGCATTTAAAAATAAACACATAGAAACTCAGTGAAAGTGGTTCAATGCCCTTTGTCCCATTAGAAGGATAAAGGAGGTGAGGATGCAGTGTTTCTTTTGCTGAAGCACAGATGGTATGATTCTTATGCCCCACTGCTGGGTGGTGGTGGGATAGGGATCTGAAAGGGGAAGAACAGCTGCCCATCACTGACTTCTCAGTACCATGGATACACCTGCAGTGGAGTAGCTGCCCAGTAGATATTTGCTGAATGGTCAGTGAAGCAATAGTGTTATTCATGCATGCCATTCTAATTTATAAAACACTTTCTTGTCCTCTGCTACTTTGATCCTAACAGTAACTCCTATAGCAGTCTGTATTAGGGCAATGCTACTGCTGTAACATATAGACCTTAAGGAGCTTACTCTGTTTTGTGTAACAGTGCAACATGGATACTCTGGCTCGTTTTCTCTGACTTCATGTGACGATTTATGACCTACAGCCAGTGATGGCAAACCTTCTAGGGCTTTCAGTGATAACAAACAGCCTGCTGTGGCACGCATGCTTTAGGTTTGCCACCACTGGCCTAGACTCTCATTTCCCAAGGTCTCGCCATTGTCTGCATTGCCTTGTGAAAAGGGGAAAGAATGAGGATATTGCCCCACTTCATAGCCTTGGCTTGGCTGTGAACAGATTGCTTCTTAACTCTTAGTGGGAATTAATCTCAGGGTTACACATGTGCACAATGGGTTAGGGGAGGCTGGAAAACAAAGGATTGAGATGATCAGCTGCTTTCCAGTGATGCTGCCCTAAAACATGAGAGCGAATGCATTTTAGTGTGGAGCTAGCCATCTCCACCACAGGTCGGTGGGCCTCACGTGACTTTTATATCTTAGAAAAAGAACAGAGTAAGGCTGGAGAAAAATAGAGGGATGATTTCCTTATTCCTCAAATTGAGCACTTACAGGACACCAAACACTACAAATCACATCCAGTTGGCAAGAGATGGCCTTATCTCTGTCGCAGGAAAACTGCCCTATTGCTTATACTGAGGCTAAAAAAATATCAAAATAAATGGATAACACCTTCAGCTGTCCAACTTTCAGCTCATTGCCCTCTTTAATACAAAATTGCCTCATGTTTCAGATCCTTTTGCCTTGAGAATGAAGCTGCAATACTGACTCAGCTTCTAAGACTCCGTTTCGGGCCCAAACACACTCCAAGGTTTAAAGCTTGTTATGCCCCTCACACATCTGCATGTACCTTGCCCTTTCCTGCCGTTACACCTCAGGGATCTCTTCTCTGCAGCTGCATCTTCTGTCTTCCATCTGTTGAAATCCTGCTTCTTGTCACTGGCCACTTCTACCTTCTTGAAGAGGGCTACTGTGGTGTTCCCTGACTGAGCACATTACTCCTGCCTGTTACTCGTCCAGGGATCTGACTTAGCTGTCCACTGCTCTGTTGCCCTTCATAGGGTGTAAACTTCATGGGCAGTGGCCTGTCTCATCGAAGCACTTTTGGATGGGCCTTTACAAACAACATCTGCTTCCCATTTAGGGCTGATTGCATTGGGCATTGCTCCATTGGAGCCGGTCAGCTCAGCTGTTTACTTTCTGGGGCATAAATTGATCAAGTGTGACTGAATGGATCAGCTGCTGGCTAAATGGACCCTTCCTCTCCCGTCATTAGAGGATTTGACAGGATTGTGGGAAAATGCAGACCCTGTGTCCTAGCTCCATGCCCCTCACAGTGTATTGTGCTTAAGAGTCGTGTGGGGATCTTGTTAAAATGCAGACTGATTTAGGAGCCGCTGGGGTGGAAGCTTGAATCGTGCATTTCTAACAAGCGCACAGGTGATGCTGACAAGACTCTGCTTAGCAAGGACTGTGTTTTGTGAAGAATTTCCTTCAAAATAATTCAAATGCTATTCTTTGAATGTGACCTGCCCTTTTCCTTTCCCTTTCCTGATAGTTTTTAACCCCAGCTGCATTTTACAAGAGATGTGCACGTTAAAAAAGAAATGTCAATCCATCTGGCATTTGTTTTATTATTCTTCTGCAATGCTTGCACAATAGAGCAGCAAGAATAACAAAACAGTTATAATAATGGGCAAAATTTATTAATTTTTTACTTCAGCCAGCATGAATTAGCTCTTACTATCTTCCCGGCAACACCATTGGTTATAATTCTCATCTTATATATAAAGAATTTGAATTTAGAAAGCTTAAGAAAATGTTAGAGAAGCGCATACTAAGTGCTGGAGCTGGAATCCAAAGATACTTGTGTATGATTTAAAAGGACAAAGGACAAAGTGCTTAACAATGACTCTGTCCTGCCTTAGTCATCCACCTCCCTGGTCATGTTTCTTTGACTTATTCTCTTCCGTGTGTTCTCTCTTTTACACACACACACACACACACACACACACAGACACACAGACACACACACACGCACACACCCTTCACCCCCACATCAAACACAGCCTCAGACAGATGCTTTGGATGCTCCTTCCAGATGCTTTGTGTCGAGGTAGAATAAATATCCTGTTACATAATTCTTCTCTGCCAGATGCCATGTGTCCTTTCCCTCCTCCTTTGGATGTCTTGATTATAAACTAGCATCTTCTTGGATGGTTCCCTGCAGACTTTATGGACGTGTTTTACCTTTGTTCATCAAGGTCTAGAAGCCTATTGGTCATATTACCCAGAATAATTGCCTCACGGATAATGTCCTCCTGCTGGGACATCCCTATGCACTAAATCACAGTTGGAATTCCTCGTTTGGGGGGATGTTTTCCACCTGGACTGGTATCGTTCAACATTAAATCATCTCTCTTCAAGGACAATGGTTAGTTTTCTCACATATTTAGTCTGTAGTCCCAAGCAGGAAAAATTAAAGCACCAGGATGGGTATTTTTTGCCTTGCTAATAGTCCTTTACCTGTTATGATTTTAAATTAAGATGACGATGTCAACAACAAGAAAGAAAACAACCATCTAATGTGAGTACAACATTCCTTATCCAAAATCCAGTCTGAAAGCCTTCAAAATCTAAAACATTTTGAGCAATCACGTGGTGCCATAATGGGAAAATTCCATACCTGCTCTCATGTGATGTCACAGTCAAAACAGAAAATTAAAAAAAAATTGTATAGGGCCAGGGGTTTAGCTCAGTGGTGCCGCCACCTGCCTCAAAAGCGCAAGGTCCCGAGTTTGATCTCTGGTACCAAAACAAATTATATAAAAGTAATATTTTAAGGTATATATTAAACATAAATAAATTTTGTGTTTAGTCTTGGGTCCCATTCCTAAGATAGCTCTTTATGTACATACAAATATTCTAAAATTCAGAAAATATCTGAAATAATTCTGATTCTGAGCATTTTAAAAAAGGTTTATTCAAATTGTATGACTGAAAATGACATCAGCAAAACTTTTATAGTTTGTTGTGTATAATAATTGGCAAGGCACTTTCATCTGTGCTATTACTGATGTTACTGTTATTATTATGATTGGCTTTCAGTGACACAGAGAAGATATATGGGCAGATGT